ATCTCCCTAAGATCTGTTAGGTTTGTACTTCAAATGGAATACCATGGTAGTATGAGAAATAAGTAAGCAAAAACTCTTCTTAAGTTAAAATGTGCCTGAGCTAAAATTTAATATTTTCTATGAACAAGAGAAGTAACTTGGAAAATAAAGTAAAATGTAAAGCTGCAGAGCCTGGTTATCAAATCAGACCATTTTGAGCTGTAAGAATGGGAAAGTTGAAGCAAGTTACAGTTGCTAACTTCAGTTTTAAAATAATATGTAGCTAAGTCTGCTGCCATTTAAGACAGTGTGTGCAACTTACATAGTTAGCTTTAAGGAAAATCTTCATTATGCTGTATTCTATCTATTGTGCTTATATTTATTTCAAATCCATTTGATGATTTATGAGCCTCTGAAGAGACACTACCTAAGAGGAATTCTTAAAAAACACTTCTTGTTTTATAAATCTGAACTATTGTTGCATATTTGTTTTGATGTATTTGATATATTTGTTTAAATGTTTGATGCTATTGCAAGCTCTCTGCTTATGAGTTTTAGTTTTTGAGACTGCTAGCAGTGGTGACCTAGGGGAGGCCTGTGGTGCTGCAAAACAGAAAGGGTAAAATAAATAGAATGTGAAGATTGCTATTGAATAAAAAGCAAAACCAGGAAATCTACCTACAAAACCTGCATGTTAAAACACAGAGAGACCTGTGCACAGCACCTCTTTTCCTTCATAGGGTGCCTAACCATACATGCAAGGCTGAGAATGTAAGGCTTATGCTATGTCTTTCAGCCTCTTAAGCCTCTAAAAGAGGTGGGGGTTGGTTTATTGATGGAAGCATGATAAGGGAAGTTGAACTGCAGGAAGTGGGTTTTATAGACTGTCTTAACTTACAGAAGAAGACTGCTCGCATCTGCAACCTTTGTTTCATAGACTGTGAGCATTCTCAGATGTATCTTTATGCTCAAATGTAGCTTGATGATTTTTGTAAAGGGCTACAAAGGTTTGGAGCAGACACACGGGAATGTTGCATTTGCCATTTCTGTCCCGTGTTAGTATTTTGTTTGCAGTTTCTTGCCTTGATAATTTTAAAGCATTCTGGGTTTGCTCCCTGAGTATGCATATTTGTTTTAAATAATAATTCATATGAAGATAGCTAAGGCTGTTTTAAGTTAGACTTGAATGATAAGTGAATCAGTCAAGAAAGACAGTGTTGGTCTTAACATTGCTCTTTGTATCTTAAAACCCTCCTAAATTTGTAACAACTTAAACACAGTGAGATTTTTGTTAGAGCAGTCAAAAACGTAATACCAGGAGGGGCTATTGAAGAGCTGTCCTCAAGATGAAAGCTTATTCTTACAGAGGTGAATACAGTGTGCAGTTTTATGGTTAGTAAGCCAAAAGATTCTTTTCACCTGTTTTGTAAGACTTACGCACCCATGTTGTTTTTCTTTTACCACAGATGTACCTGCAGATGTGGTACACCACAGGGCTGTATCATAAGTGTATGATGGTTGAAAGGAGGCTTTTATTTCAAACTTTAATGCATTATATTGCAACTGCATGTCTTCTCAATCTAAAAGTACAAAACACTCAGCTACAGGCCTGAAAACTGCCTAAAAGAGAAGATGTCTATCTTAAAAAAGTTTCAATTATAAAGTCTTCTTTATTTTTTTTGGGAGAACAAATTCCCAGAGTAAATTTAAATTGATATCAAGAATTCTTTGACTTAACGCATCTAAAATTTTACTAAAATAGGAAAATTTGTTTAATACTGATAGAGAACATTTAATGCTGCAGGGTGCAGGCTGATGGCCTTGAGGTTTGGAAAGTATTGTCTCTATTCCTTTTTGTTTGTATCAGACTGCCAAATTTTTCCTTCCTACATCTTTAAAGCATGTGGCATGAGCAGTTTCTAACAGCAGAACATTAAATTTGTTAGACTTCTGATCTAATGAGGCCAAATTCTGTATTCTTGTGTACTGTTTTATCTAATCACGGAGCAGTTTTGATGCTATCACATAGAGCACTGAAATTCTCACTGCTATTTTGCCACTTCTTTTAATGGAACACACTGTATGAGCAGTACATAGTATTTCAGAGTTACTGTTATCAGATAGTAGAATAATGACTGCATTCTGACATAATTTTGTTTGCTGTTGGTTTTGGAGGGTTTTTTGTTTCTGTCCATATATGTTCTTTTTGGGTTAAGAAAAGGTAATGTGGTGTTGGAAAAAGAAATTACTTTTTTTCAGTTTTCATGTCGTATTAGACTTCTGTGCGTGATGGTCACTCCTCTAAAATCTCAGAGAGATTTTAAGTTTTAAAATTAGGTTATGTAAATACAAAGTCCAACATGCTAAGTACTTTTTCCATCAGCAGCATATCATAAATGGCCACTGGATTCAGGCTTTTTTTTCTTCAGTGGATTTAGATCAAGTGGTTTAATTTCATATTTTTTCTCTATTTTGCTTTTTCATTTTTTTGCTAAGTTTAAATACTAGATTTGGAAAGTGATTTGGGAGCTGTTGTATGGGTTTTTTCACGGTGTCTCTAAAAGGTGTTTTGTGGAATTTGTAATTGTGCACATATGGACAAATTAATTGAGGGAAACAATACATAACAGTTCAAGATGGAACTAGGATCTAGAAATGAACATGTTAACTGAGTAAAAGGATTTATCTGCTCTCTAGTGTCACTGCCAAGAAGATTAGTTATAAAGAAATTATAATGAGCAAACCACACAATTTTAATCGATGTTAACAGTAAGTTTCAGAAACTTTGATTTATTAATAAGCCTGAGATTATTAGTATTTTTCAAATTAAATGATACTGAGGCATTGACAGTGTCTGTATAGAGCTGTAATGGAATGTTGATTAAACAGTAGGCAAACAGAAACTGAGCATGCTGGGATTAGAGTCCAGGTCATGTTTGCTTACAGTGGTTGCAGACAACCAAATGTGAAAGTAGGATCAGCAGATGCTTTCAGCTCTGGAACCTGCCTTGCAAGTTCCCTGGAGAGACTTGAGAGGGTTCCTTAGACTAAGCACGTTTTTGGTACATTAGGTGGAGGTCAGAGTTAAGTTGCAGAGCTTTGCACAGCACCTTTTTTTCATGCTTCTGCTGGTGAATATCTGGAGATGTCTGATGAAAAAGCTGAACGCCACCATCACCTAGCCTTGCCAGATAAAACAGTCTTACTATACACTAGTTTTCTGAGAAGTTTCTTCTCATGTTTCCTCTCCCAGCTCCACAAAACAAAGTTCTCACGCTCATCTTCATGTGTAAGAATGTTTTCTTGGCTTTTTTCCTTACTGGAGCCATCCC